AATTGAACGATTAAGTCTCTCGGCCATTCCATTTTGCTCGGGATTGTATGTGCAAGTGGACTGGTGCTCAATACCGGCTTGACGAAGATTTTGTTGCATTTCGGCATTCATATATTCCAAACCATTGTCGCAGTTTCTTCATCTTATTGCCCGTCTGAGTCTCAGCGTATGCCCGAAAAGCATCAAAAGCGTTCTTAACTTCAGTGGCGGATTTTGTCTTCAACAGATAAACAAAAATCTTACGTGAAAAATCATCGATGAATGATAGCATATATCGTGCACCACCAAGTGAAGTAACCTGTAATGGTCCACAAATATCAGAGTGTACGAGCTCTAACAACTCTGTGGCTCTTGTTCCTTCTTTCGGAAATGGCTTTCGTGTAGCTTTGCCTCGAGGACATGTTTCGCAGTCATCATGTGATGAAGTAGAGATTTGCAGCCCAGATGCAATATTTGTCAGTTTTTGTAGAGCTCCGTAATTCATATGTCCCATTCGTCGATGCAAAATATCGATAGGAGCTTTGGAAGTAAAATTTGCTCGATTTGTTGGGACTTGAAGAAGTCGATACAAATTGTCTTCGAGGACTCCTGTAGCAGTCAAAGTTCCCTTGCGACTATAAACATAACAAGCACAATTATCAAACTTCACATTGTACCCCATTCTTGTGATTTTGCTAATGGACAAAAGATTCGTTGAGAGTTCTGGAACGCATAAAACATCTTGAAGTGCCAGCTTCTTTCCTGTATTTGACGGGTGAATATAAACTTTGCCAATAGCCGTGATTTGCATTGATTTATCATTGGCTGCATTGACTTTTCCATTTGTATTTCGAGCGTCAATCAAAGAAGTCAATACAGGTGTCATGTGGGAAGTTGCACCGGAATCGAAATACCAATCACCTTCGGTAGTTTTTGATATTGCTGAAAGAACGGTGCATCAAGCGTCTTCCGGATCTGAGTCTTCTTCCAGATTGAGATTTGAGAGTTGCGGTGGTTGGAGCATACGGCAGTCTCGTTTGAGGTGACCGTAGTTATGACATTGACGACATATAGGTGAAAACTGTGATGGCTTACGATTTTTCTTACGATTTGTGTAAAGAGCCCCATTATTAATGGTTGGTATGTTCTCCTGCAGCAGTTTTGTCTTGATGGTAAGGCTTGAAATCTTCAAACCTGAATTTTCCAACGCCATAATCATTGGTTTGTACTCTTCAGTGAGACCCGCAAGCATGAAAGCTCCCACCATTTCCTCATCGAATGCAAAGCCAGCGTCACGCCAAAAAAAAAAAACAATAAGCGGTGTTCTTGTCCTTGAGATGAGAATAAAGGGAAGGGTCAATCGCTAATTTAATCTCTGCACGCGCTTTCCTATCTTTCGTTTCATCCTTTTGAGACGTGACTTTCCCATCACTATCAACTCTCACTTCCACAACGCCAGTCCATAGATCCTCCAGCTCCAAAACAGCTTGAATCGTCTCCAGCCACGTGTTGTAATTTTCGTGACCAAGAAGTTTCTCGATAGAAACTCCTCCTGTGTTGAAAGTCGCCATCCTCAAATTGTCCTACGACTCACGCTTAATCAGTGCCGATTTCCTGATGAATTTTGCCTCGAAATGAACGTACTAAATCAGCAATAGGCCCATAACCTGATAAGCTAGTCTGAACCAGAAGAAAGTGAAGTTTATTGTGACAAAGAATAAATATAATATATTAACAGATGTCATCGTGGTTGTCATCTCAACAAAAAACTTTGAGAACTCGCAGTAATATGGAATATCTCAAGTCGAAGCTAGTGATGAGTATAGTTTTTCAGAATACAGGAAGAAACAGTGGACATAAGTCTGATTCGCCTCAATCCAATGATATAATTCGAAATGATTATTTTTTCAACATGTATGAAATGTAGTACTTAATACCAAGGATTTTTTTTATTCGTATTTGCTCGCGAAAGGTTGGACCTATAATCCTGCGGCGGAACTGCGAACACTAAAGAGGAACATTATGTCGGTGGATCTTTCTTCTAAAGGTGGTCGGTGGATTGGTTGTAGTTTTTCTGGAAGTACATCAGATGGTGAAGAATTCCAGACTGAAGATGTCCTACAGAAGAGGGAGAAACATGATGTTCTAGATGTATCAACTTTGACTGCATATGGGTGCGAAACCTGTTGAGGCAGTTGAGTTTGGTGAACAAAGGTCATTGATGTTAGTTTGATTGATTCCAGGAGAGTGCTGAGTTCTGTAGATCGCTATTGTCGTCATCTATTATATGTATCGATAAGTCTAATTTTGTGAAGCTTTTTCAAATAGAAATATCAATAATCAATAAAAGCGAGTTTCATTTCGATTGTTCTTATACAGGGTGTTATTCAAATATGTGACCAAACTTCAAGGCGTGATTATTTGAGTGACAATTAATAGTGAATACGTGGTATTTCAAATCCCGTGACAAAAGGTTATAGCTCGACCAACAAGGAGCTGTAATTTGTCGAGGGATTCAAAAACACTTTAATCCTGAGGTGTATATACTATTTTATGCACTTTAGAATAGGTATAACGTTGAAAATAACGAAAATGCCACTAAACGCTAGGTAGGTACTCGACTATTTCTAAAACGTCATCGAAGGGGCTGATTATTACCATAGTAACCATACCTCAGTAACTATGGTGATCCAGATTTCGGGGAAAACAATTGTAGGGATTTAAAGTAACTTCAATACCCTAGGGATTTAAAGTATCACTTTTTTTCTCGAAAATAGGGAATAAAGGTAGCCTTCGAATCCATGAAGTGCATATAATAGTACATTATACACCTAGGGACTGAAGTGGTATTTTGAATCCCGAGATTAAAAGTTTATACCCCTCCCGTTGGTCGGGCTATAATTTGTCGAGGGATTCAGAATCACTTTATTCCTGAGGTGTATGTACTATTTTATGTACTTTCTTTAGGATAGGTGAAACGTTGAGAATAACGAAAAAATTAATAAATGCCACTAAACAGTAGGTAGGTACTCTATTTCCAAAACATCATCGAAGGGGCTAATTGTCACCATATCAATGACCTCAGTAACTATGGTGATCCAGATTTCGGGGAGAAACGTGGTTCTTTAAATCCCTATAGTGATTTAAAGTGTACTTCAATTCCATAGGGATTTGATTTCCTATGGATTTGAAGTACTACTTTTTCCCCGAACATAAGGATCTGAAGTACCCTTTAAATCCCTGAAGTGCACGAAAACTGTTACATGACCCCCTGGAATCCAAGCCACAGAGGGTGCTTCGATTCGTTATACCTGGAATTTTACCATTTAGACCAGGGCCGATCAGTTTTCAAACCAAAAAACTTATAGTAGGATGAAACTCGTCAAAAAATGACGAAAAATAATTTACGGGCGATCTGAGGTCGGGAAGTGAAAAAGGGGGGGAGTTTTAAGGGTAAAAAACGGTGTATCTCGATTAGTAGCATGTAGAACCTACTGGTATAGAGTAGTTTTGTGGAATTAACAATTATTCAAATACTACAGAAATTTCGAGAAATTGTAAAAAATCTAAAAATCATAAGTTGCAATGTAAAGTTCAAATTCAAAACACAAGTGTGTTGATATTCAAACAAATTTGCCCAATTTCAGCGATTATTTTGAGAAAATGTAACTCTTGACATGTAACGAGTCACGTGACCCCGATCGAGTAGGTCATTTTCCATCTTTTTTTAAGCAAAACTTTACGCCCAAGTCGAGTTTCAAAATAAATAATTAATAAGTTTTTTCCACATGATGCCGACTTCATGAATGACACTGTAGCTATATACATATAACAAATTGAAATAATTTAAAATGTTTGTCTCTCCGAATATATAAATGAGATATTTAATTGAAGGTGGTCCGGTTTGTAATACAAAATATTCGTTGAAATGATAAAAAAAAAATGTGCACATAAACATATATACTTTTAAATGCGTCGTTTCCGAGATATAGGGTGTTGAAAATACGATATTGTTTTTTGATGGAAAGTTCGAAACGGTTTGAGATAAAAGAACAAAATTCCTCACAGATACTTTTACGCTCTATGAGATAGAATAAAAGTCATTTCATGAAGTAAATCAGCGGCGGCTGAATCTGGGGGTGGTGAAGAAAAAAATCACCCCAATTGTTATGTGCATCAAATTTCTCATTTTCAAATACAAAATGTGAAAACAAATACAATTCCGCGTATGATAGTTCTGTTATATTTTTTCAATGCGTTACAATGTTTCCGAATTGAAACGGATCAACGATATGAGAAATTAGGCTAATAAACAATGGAAAAATTATAATAAAGCTTCAATTTACAAAAAAAATCGACTGGTACACGTTTTGATGAAATTCACGCAATAATGCCAGTTTTTTATTCCACTGGCAGACCTGTGAAAGTGGCAGCACATCTGAACAGTGAGCATAGCACACTTGTTTTAATTTAGATCAAATATTATTATTGAACTGAAAACGTTACGATATTAAATTGAACCGATATAATCCGAAAATGGCGAAACGAAACAAAAACTCACAAGTGTTCTTTTTCACGCAGGCCTATTTATTTTCAGAGAAAGAAATGCACATCTATACATCAAAAACGACGCCTTCAAAAGTATATGCTTATAGGATTTCATTATTTCAACAAGTATAAGACACTGTGGAATTTTTTGTATTACAAACCGAACTGAAACACCTTGAATGTATTTTTTTGATGAATTCTTGACGGTTTTAAGCGACGAACGAATGTCAGGTTTTCTCAATTTCACCGATCACGTGATTCTTTCAGTTGTCATAGAGATTACAGTATAAATCACCTACCCATTTTCAGGGATGGAATCTAAAACTTAGAACTTTTTTTTTTTTTTTCTTGAAAACTGGATCCGTGTGAAAACGGCATATATTGATAAGAACAAAGTTGGGTAGTTTCATTATAATAACACATTCAATACAACAAACAGGAGTACCTAAGCAGTTTGAATAGAGAATCAAGATTCAAGATGATTCAGAACTAAATGAAGTTTCTGCTTCTAGTTCCGTATGTTGAAGTCGCTCGATATCTCTGAACTCATGTTGGATTTTTGATCTCAATAAAGCAGCACTTTTGTTTTTGATCTCTGGGATAGTTTTAATGGCTTCATTGAGCTCTTCATTGGATGGATAATTTCGATTGAAAGTTTCTTTGAATCCATCAAAATATGTTCTGAAATGATCCCTCACTTTGTGTCTTTCCGGTGTTGTCCAGCGATGTACTCGAGTACCGCCTGGAAAATAGAGGAATTCATTCATTGAGTAAACGAAAATTGAGAGAGGTAATTTCCTATGTTTTTGCTGCCAAGGATGACTGTTGAAATTATTAAAATCATTCCGATTTCCAAAATACAGCAATTTGAAATTATTAATGCATCAGACTATAAGAAGTATGACCTAGAACTAGTGACATTTGGGGAAATTGTTGATGATAAGTTTCTTGACTCATTTTCTTCAGGACTAAATACCAGAAAAAATGCATCCATATTGGTATCGTTTTTTTAAGTAAATTGACTTAATGAACTGAACTTATGTATTTCAAAATGTGACTTACACCTTCGTTTTTTTATTCGGTTGATTTCAGCGTGAATCCAACTGCGAACCTTCGTTATATTTCTAGATATATGAGGGGCCTTATTGACCAGTATATCTTGTACCTCATGTATTGGTGGCACCTTGAGATCTTCTATGTATTCCTGAAAGAGATTTCGAATTCCTCTCTTTTCCGGAGTTCGCGAAGTACGCCTCGGAATGGAGATAGTGTTCAATATTTTCCGTTTCGTTTCGAAACGACTTTCACTCTTGATTTCCACATTGTTATTTGATTCTTCCAGAATAGTAGAAAGTTCGAACGGCTCGTCTCGAAGGGATTCGTGATCATCTAAGTCGAGATGGGTTTTAGATGAGCCAGGTAGATCCTGTTCGTTGAAAGCACTAGACAGATCAGCACCAACGTCATCTCTATTCCCGGATCATTATTATCTGGGATAACAGGTGCCAAGTTATCATTTTGAGATACACCAGAAGCCTCCAACAGCACTTTCCCCATGACTACAATGTCAGTATGTGCCTGTTTCTGTTGATAAACATTCTGATGAACAGCCATTGTATGGCCCATGAAGTCACTGATGATATTTTGAACATTAGATGATAACATTGCCGTACATGTTGCCAAATGTTTTCTCAGTTTGTTAGCATTGAGCCTATTATAATTCAATTCGTTGCGTTGACAGATGAGCTTCAGTGCTTCATCAGCTTTGAAGTATGGCAACCTGGTAGAACTTGATCCTATCCGAGCAAATAAGTATTGATTTTCAGTTGGTATCCCAATTTCATTACGTTTTTGTACAAGGAGATCAATAGCTTGCTCAACTTTTTTCGGGATTAAATTTGATGCCTTTTTATTGAGTTTTCCTTGAGTGATGTATCTGGCAAATTGCTCTGCATGTTTCTTATCATCACCAGGCAATTTCGATAAATGTTCTTGATCAACTCTTGCCATGCTACGAATTTCCAGTAATTGTGTCTTTTCAACGTCACCAGGCCGCTTCCTATTGAATACTAATAAGTATGCCAAGGAGGCCTTCGCTAGGGCAGTATAACTTTCTGGGTCGAAATTAGAACAAGCCTTTTCATATGCTGAGGTCACTTCTATATCGAGTACTTTCAGTAAACCATTGATCTCTTCAGTGGAAGGCAAAATCTCCTTTTTTTGTCGTTGAAATTGTGTTTTGTTATCTTGTGCTTGTCTTGTTATATCATGGTTCTGGCTATTTGCTAAGAGGTATTCAAAGTTTACATATCTCTTTTCGGCAATATTATCAATGCGTTTTATTGCCTCACATTTGAGGAATTTGCCTACTTTGAGAAGTAATGTGCAACAATTGCTAGCAGTTGTAGGTGATTTGAATATACCATTGTTGTAACCACATCGTAATTGGATGGCTTTGATTATGTTGTCATAGTGCTTTGGATGTAATAGATCTGCAATATCTCTTATATGGGTATCAATGACTTTGGCATTAATAAAAATATCTGCAAGAAGTCCTAATTGAGAAGCGATGTGTATGTGATGTTTACCACCTGCATTAGTTCTATAATATTTCGTAACTAACTTATTCCCATATTCTACAGCAGTATCGTCTCTGAATAAAATTTCAGCTTGAGCTGGTTTCGTAAAATAAGGGAAAAAGTACTTGATGAGTTCTGGTGATGCTTTTTTGTTAACTGCTCGACCGTTGACTCTTGCCTCACCCATTGCATTTGTAATAGTAAGAAGTAGATCTTTTTTTTCTGTCCTCATACGACAATCTCTGAAGTGGCCCTTGAAAGATTTATGTGAGTAAAAACCTTTACATAGAGGACAACAAACATAGGAAGTATGATCAGGTTTAGGAGAATTCCTGACAGGGATGATATTTTCACAATTATTCAGATAATTGTAGTGGTGATCGCCACGTTTCCTCAATTCCTCAAATGCAGTGTGGTTTCTGTATTTCGGATTCCTTTCTCCTGAAAATAATGCCAAATTCATCTTGATTTCTAGACCTATCTCAAGTTTAGTGTTCAGTGTATCCCATTTTGGTTGAGACTGCCAGGTTTCTCGGTTTCCATTGAACATACAACCTTGTGGTTTTCAGGTGGCTGTCCTTTTTTGTGGAACTCAAGATGTCCTGATTATATTCTGCAGAACTTTTACCGTTTATGAGATACAGGGCGATTTTCAAAATATATATTCCTTGACCTCTTCTATACCTACGAAGTTATAAAATAAAGAATAATGTTCATCTGAAAACTATGCCTAACAGAGAATTCTGAGCAGAATCCAGTGTCGAACTCGAGTCTTTTTTCTTCGGGATATGGTCGTAGAGATACGACACAAACTTATGTACCAACACTAATTCACTAACACGAATCACAAAACGTAGGTATCCAAAAGCAACTGATAAATAGAAATACATAGTTCATACACTTCTGTGATTCACCAATGTTGAATTACAGAATTTGCAGATGTACATATTATTATTTTGAATTTATTTCAATTCCAGTCACGACTCTGCGGTCTCCGACGCCACGCCCTGAAAAAATAATTGAGTACGCCACTGGATTCTGCACAGAATTCTCTGTCAGACGTAGTTCTCTGAACATAATTTCTTATGACTTCGTAGATATGATGGGGTAAAAAACCGAAATCGCCCTGTATCTTATAAACGGAAACAGTTATGTAAAATCTGATTAGGCAATTTTGAGTTTCATAAAAAAGGAGGAAAGGGACGTGAAAACCGCAAGGCTTTATCTTCAATAATGACCTAGAAACCTGACAGTCTCAACAAAAATGGGATGCACTGTTCATTCACATCTATACTGAGTGTCCCAAGTTATATTGAATAACTTCAAAGTGCCCCAAAGGGATGAAGAAAAGCTCAAAGTTATCTCCACACATATATAATCTTCTTGTTAAATGTTTAGGGACATGTTTCGGACTTAGAAAAGTCCATCTTCAGCTCATGTTTCAAGTTCAAAGTATCTTCCCAATGATGTATAAAAAGTTTCTTAAATTTGACAGCCCTGTGGTCGCTAACCCTAACTTTCTAATTTCAAATTGCACCTACTGTATATTGTCAGTGAAAGTTGCATGTCATTCAACGATAGAACATACTTGGTATTTTGTCATTAATAACAACAGAAATATTTGTGCTAGTTGGGGTAATCACAAATCAGAAAAACATATTCATTGGATTTTGATGAACTTCGAAGATTTTTTCGTAAAAATCGTTCACCAATAACCCTACTAGCACTAACATTTTGTGAAGTATGAATTGCAAAGAAAATAGCTACTATGCAATTCAAAAAACAAACAAACATTCAAAGCAAGTGTTTAACATTATTTCCTGCAGAATCCGTGCAAGTTGCAAAACGTGTTAATAACGTTCTTGTGCACGCCGCCTGAATCATAGCTGGTGTAACGCTACGACATGCTTCACAAATACTTTCTTTCAGATCATCTAAATCCACAGATTAGGTTTCATTTGTGTCTCACTGTATTCCAAATTCCAGTTCCATTTGGAAACAAAAAATGAGGGGTAGCTACCACAGGGCTGTCAACCTTTTTTATACATCATTGGGAAGATACTTTGATGTTATTCAAAGTATTATTATTCATTATTTTCTTGTCAAATTAGCGAGATATTGCCTGTATACGATAACTTTGGGCACCCGGTAGTTCTTTTTGTGAATTTGAGTTCCAACTGAGGATATGAAAATATTTTATATGAATTGACGTTCGAGCTATAAGGAAAATCGTTGATGTCGTCCGAAGAAATGTTATTTGGCCGGTCAATTGCAAAATCAGATATAAATATTTCTATACAGAGTATCCTCATTTGGATAGGTAGGACATTCACAATTGATGAAAATCTTCATTGATTATGAGAATAGAATAAAAAACAGAATCTTTTTTTCAAAAGAAATACGATAACTTTGGGCACCCGGTAGTTGGGTGTCTCTGAAAGGTCTTTAGAAAAATAACCTATCAAATATTCCTCAGACCCAAACAATTCTATACAAGCAAACTTAGTACAAAGTTGCTTATTTGAGCGCTAGACGGCTCTGAAGTTACAATTTTCAAATCTTTTTTGATTTAAAACTTTGAAACAGCTTATGCGATTTCACTAAAATTTTGTTCCTTAGGATTTCTTTATGGAGCAATAAAATCTATTAATATCATTCCTAGAACTCGATTTTGTCAGTAAATACACATATAAAACTTCAACTCCAATCGAAAAACAGGAGTTTCATTATGGAATTTGCATTGGGCAATTCATTCACTACGAAAATATACTCTTGATAAAATTCGATTACTTCCATGGGTTTGAAAAAAAAATAAAATTCCAGTATTTAGGAGCATATGCAAATATTAAACCAAATAACAGATATTCCATTAAATTTTTATCAAAATGTTCTCCTCCTCCACGTATACAAAGATTTAAACGACGAAAAAATGGATACAAGTAAACTCACTTCAGTAGAGTTGCTCAGTTTGGACGCTATACCGTTTTGGCTAACTCAGTACAGAAAACAACTCAAACAGCTGATATTATATTTCAAATTTTTTCGTCCTATGAATCTCTGTATACGTGAAGGTGGTGAACATTTTGGAAATTTTTTATGAAGTTGGGCAATCCAAATCTATTACTTGAACTCTTTTTTTCCCATTGCCGTTGAAGTTTTAAATGTTAATTTACAGAAAAAAATCAAGAACCCTATAAAGGTATCCTAACGTACCAAACTTGAGTAAAATGGCATGATCCGTTTCAAAGTTATAAAGCTAACGAATTGAAAATTTCAACTGTCCAGCGCCCAAACTATGCAAATTTGTAATTTGTTTGTATCGAATTGTGTTGGTCTCATAGGTTTTTGTAAATACCTTCAAGAGATATCCTTCATAGCAAGCTTTCAATTTCAATAATAATTGAAATAAAAATATCCCATTTAGCAAATAAACATCGGATCCAAATTTTCATGCAATATATTTGGAATAAAGTTTCGGATCCATTGGAGGAACCTCTGGTATATCGAAACTGGGATACTCTGTATATTGTGGTACATGAGTTTAATTATGTAGGCACCTTGCAGAAATTTTGTTGAAGCATCAACTGCAGCTTTCACACTTTCCTCTTCTATATGCATCGATCTCAGGTGTCTAGGCAAATTGACTACTAATGTGCCACAAAACAGGCAACTGTGTTTTTTTGCACTTATCTTTTTTTGAACAGATTGATCTGAAAATATCAAAGCTTTGGAAAATTTACGGTCTCCAATATATATTTTAATTTCGACTACCAGGTACTGATGATGATGATGTTTCAGCTTTAGCAAGTACCACAGGGATATTCGAAATACTCCGGACGATATCAGATGGACATCGGTAGTCTTCCACGATTACTGATGTAAATATACTAGTAATATGTACCAGGAACAGATGATGATTGATCTTCCATTTCTGAAATCAAATTATCTTTGTGAACCATTGGATAGAGCAGTAGAAGTCACCAAAGAGCGAGAAAACTAAGATTGAAAATTTATTTGTGTGAATAATCGGATATATGCTCTATCCATCTTCAATATTTTCATCAATCCAGTGTTGCCGTTCTTATCGTAAACAAAAGGCAACTTTTTCTCACTGGAACCCCATGTGGATTATTTCATTTTCCAAATAAATCTACTTCGGAATCTTGACGACTTTTCACTATGAATATACAGAGAGAACGAGGGTTAAACCGCCAAACGTTTAGGATCGATTTTTTATGCAAAAATAAAAGTTTTTATTCATATGAGCATGTGTCCTAACTTGCTTCTTTTCTGAAATATAGGGTGACAAAGTTTAAAAAAAAAAGTGTTTCATTGATTACTCAAAAACCTTTAGGCTGATTTTGATAAAACTTGAAAGGCTCATTTGAGTTTTTATCGAAATCAGCCCAAAGGTTTTCGCGTAATTGATGAAAAACTGATTTTTTCTAAAAACTTTTACACCGTATAATAATATGTCTAAAATAAAGCAAGTTAAGACACAACATGTTGAAATTATTTCGATATTACCGAACTATAGATGTATTATCAACTAAGACATAAAACAAGATTATAGCCACTTTTTTGATTCTCTATAACTCTATAACTCAAGCTCAGCTTCCGAATGTTGCGTAATTTGAAAGAATTTGAATTCATCTTGAGTAGGTACATTATTTTGCTAAAAATTCCGAGGTTACTTATTATATCGAACACGGCTCTAGATTAAGTATACCATAAAGTTAAATATAGTGGAAGTGAAATCAGCATATGTTTTAGAAGAATGGAATGTCCTACAGAGGGTACCTACCTATTTTTTTTAAATTGTTGAAGTTGTCATGTGTCTCAGTTGAAAGCTATACTACTGAAAATCAAATCATTTTGAATGTTCAGCATGTTCAATCGAATATTGAATCTGATCTCCACACTTTCTGATATTGATTATTTTCTTCGTATGATTTTGAACCGTTTCGATTGGTTCGATCGAGCTAAGCTACCATGTATAATTTCGATTATACATGATTATACATAGAGTAACTCTACCAATCCGAAATTTAGAATTATTCAAATGTCCATAGTAACCAATTCATATTGTTACATACAAACAAAGCGCACCGTTAAATTGTGACGTTTGTTCAGACTACTCAAAAAATAATCGTATCGAATACAATTCGAACTTCAAAATCTTCAAGG